TCCTAACCTTCTAGATATTGTAAACGAAAGACTTGACAATGATACTTAATACGTCTTGTCCTCAGATATAAATGATATTGAGGACTTAAGGCATAACTTCTTTGACAAATATAACCCTGAAGCTTTATATAAATGAGCAGAGAGCTTATAAACGTGTTACGTAATTGCTCTTCCATTACATACAAATTTATTCATTGATCTCTCCTTTTTGATAATTTACTTTCATGTTTATTGATTGATAACTGTTTTAAATTCGTTGAGAGAGAGAGAGAGAGAGAGAGAGAGAGAGAGAGAGAGAGAGAGAGAGAGACTAGCAAGAGCCTAATAGATAAATATAACATACAAATCAATATATTGAGAAAGTATTTCCTCCCTTGGCTAAATATCATAATTTCGTCTTTGAGGTGAACCCATCACACCACTTGCTCTGTCTTTCTCTAACTGTTGCCGGGAAGTGAAGATTGAAGCATTCCTGACACCCTCGTTTACATGCTACACACGACTCGGAAAACATTAATATTCATCTAAACTCGAATAACATTGTCATCTTCCTGTCGTTATTAGATTTTGGTTGGGCAGGATAAATTGATCACCGCTTGAACGGATGCAACACTCATCCATCCAGGCCGTAATCCGTTCGTATAAGTGGATTGGTGGATGACATAAGGATATATAGCCGACGGTGGATAGATATTTCTTTAAGTTAGGTTAGGTTAGTTTTATACTGTACATAATTAAGCTGACAGGTGAAGTACAATTAGTACTCACCTGATAATCGAAATTTCTCAATTTTTTTTCTAAGCCTAATGTTACCTTAACATTACTGTATTTATTATTATGAATATATGTTTACACTTCATCTAATATATATGTACGCGTTATTATGCATAGTTTATGAGCGTAATATGTAGATATATTTACATATCCCGTTCACTATAAATCTGAATACACCCCACGCGCTGAGGCTAAAATTAATATCATCAAGTTCGCAATAAACTTAACACAAACAAACCGATAATTATAGATATAACGAAGTTTAGAGATAGCGAATAAAATCTTCCGAACCAATTCACTGAAATTTGGAGAAAAAAATGCAGAAAATAATAATAATATATATCACATCATATGCGGTTTTCTTATTAATTACATTTAAAAACTCGAACGAATTAATGTACAGAGAATTCCACAAATATATTTATCAAATTTGTGTCTACTGTTAGAGTTCGCTTTCACAGCTTTTTGTCGACTTTTTTTAGGAAATGTGATGAAAAATATTCGAGCTGGGAGTCAAGTAACTGAGAGATATACTCAACACCAAAGAGTTAAAACTAAAGAAACTCGGTCTTTTATAGAGAGAGAGAGAGAGAGAGAGAGAGACCTCACAGGGTTCATGCGATTTGGTTCATCCGATTTAGTTCATCGTACCATTAAAATGGAATATAGAGCATCACCATACACTACCTCGGTTCATTTAAGTCCTTCTCTGGTTCAATTAAGTGGTACATGAGTTAAGTGGTTCATGAGTTGAGATAAGTGGTTTATGAGTTAAAGTGTTCATGAACTATGTGGGTTATGAGTTAAGTGGTTCATGAGTTGAGATAAGTGGTTTATGAGTTAAAGTGTTCATGAACTCTGTGGGTCATGAGTTAAGTGGTTCATGGATTGAACTAAGTGGTTCTAATTCGCCACTTGGCGAATGACAGTTTCACACCTAACGGATCCTCGATATAACGGACTTTTATCTTTATTATTGTTCATTAGATGAAGGGTTCAGATCCAATATACCCTCGATATAACGGACTCTCCTCTCCATACAGTCCGCTAAGTAGAGGTTTCGCGTGTAATTAACTCTCGATATAACGGATTCTCGTCTCCATGTAGTCCGTTAAATAGAGGTTTTTACTTTACTTTATTGCTTACTCCCTCTACCTACCACGATATAGCCTCGTAACTGGTGTAAGTATTGTATATATAAATAGCTCACTGAAAAACTCTAATGACAACAGACTGTGTTATTACAGTGAGAGAGATTACTTTACTGAACATATAGTCTTGCTCTTGAATATAAACGTGTATAGATAGTTTGTTGACTATATCTGACCTAACTCAAAGCCTATTGGTAATTGCGATGGGGAAAGATTACTTATGCCAATGAAAATAATATATATTGGTAAATGATTCTTATAGAGCTGGTTCTATTTACGTATACTGACAGACTGTGGGTGGGTGGGTGGGTGGGTTTAATGAATCAATCACTGTGAGGTGTCATTCTGTTTATACCTGAGGAATGAATATACCTGTTAAATATATCCGTGGTTCAGGGGAGAGGCGAACGGATTTTAGTAGTTAACTGTCTATTATAACATTGATTTAAATTAATAGTAAGCACCAAAGACTAAGATATTTTCATTAATTAGTCAACAAATATCACAAATTGACGGTTTTACGTTATTTGGTCACCACAAGAGAAGAAAAATAACATATTAAATACCAAGGAGGAGTAATTTGTCTCAAAACTACTTAACCATGATTACAGTCCGGATACAGAGAGCTATTTTAAGTGTTTCAATTTATTCTCAACACGAATAACAGGATTGTAAAAGATGGTAATATGTTTTGTCTTTTACTCTCTTTAATTGACATGCATACATACAAATACACACACACACACACACACACACACACACACACACACACACACACATACACACACACACACATACACACACATACACACACACACACACACACACACAAAAGACGAAATAGATTATTCTGTCTCAAAATAAATCTAACCACGAAATTACCAAGATGAAAAAAAATCATCACGGAATATATTTACCCAAGAAATAGCCAAGGCAGGGAAAAAAATAATCAACATCATAGGGAAACTTTACGCTCAGAATATCATGGCGGGGATTTTTTTCTTATTCTTAATTAAAAAAAAGAAAACAAAAGATATAATCCGCAAAATATTCCAAGTTATGTTTTTATTTTATTAGGAAGAAATTCAGCGTGGATTTTCAAGATTATTTTATTTTTATTTTTTATTTCATTTTCTTTTGGCCTGGACGTTTTAGCATCTGGGGTAACTTAATTTAGAGTAATATTAGACTCGGTTAAGTGACTTTTAAGTTTTAGTTAAGCTGCAGTTCGTGGGCCGGGTGAGTGGTTCTCCAATCCCCCAGACTGGTTCACTGGTTAAGATGGTGAACCTTCTGTATGGTTCTTTGGTTCACGTATGATAGATTTTTTTTATAAAGTACAATAGTTCGTCTGGTTCTATGCATTATATTTTCTATACTTGAGTACAATTACAGTGATACCTCACTATAACGGACTAAATGGAAGGGTAGTGTAAGTCCGCATCGAAATTCATTAGAAACCTTTATATAACGGACTCTACCAATTAGATTGATGTCCGTTAAATAGAGGTTTTACTGTACTGTAATATTCAATAAAGTTTTACATTCATAAAGAAACTTCCATTTCAAAACAATTTCGTTAACCAGTGTCAACCTCTTGAGCGGAGTATACCTGGAGAGCGACACTACCTAGCTGCCTCACAAGTCACTACCTAGCTGCCTCACAAGTCACTACCTAGCTGCCTCACAAGTCACTACCTAGCTGCCTCACAAGTCACTACCTAGCTGCCTCACAAGTCACTACCTCACTCTACAGAAATAAAATAATCTCTCTATAATCGATTGATTTGTCAATAAACTCTAGTTTTTTCCTTTTTTGTTAAATATTTCTAATAAAGTCATTATCACTCGGGAAATATGATGAACGTATAAAAGTTTGGGATTTCTGATTACATGTGAAAATTCAAGCAAAGATACGTAATATTTGCTTTATATCGCTACGAGAAAACAGTACGATATGATTACTTTGTATTTTATTTTCGTATATTTTATGTTGTTGATAGTTGTAATAAAAGATGGTTGTATTATCATCATTACCATCTACGCTAAAAAGTTTTATTGAGTTTTACATTACTGTTATATACAGCAGGTGTTTCAATAACCCGTAGAAGCCAGGTAACACAATGACGAAATCTACGTTTCCAACTTTAGTGCATCAGTTAAGCAAGAAATTATATCATTAATGTTTTAATCTTTAATCACACCATAAAGTTTAAACAATATTTCCAGAAACTTGCAATAAAATCCATAAATTAAAAAAATATATAAAAAAGAAAAGAAAATTCATGACCTCGTTCTATATATCACTTTTGTTGAGAATCAATAGATATTATTTCCTTTTCAGTTAACATTATGATTGAAACTAAAGACTTTTCAGATTATTATTTCTCGGTAACTGTATCACACGAGGTATTATGACTGACTTATGATTACTGCCCTCATTCTGTTAAAAAAGAACCTCATTAATACCTCACTATTACCCTGAAACACGAGAGAAAAGTTAATATTACAGTAATTTTGAAATATAATGTACATGATTACATAGCGAATATAAAAACTAAACTGTATATATTATTTTCACAACATTTTGAATTTCCATCACGTTTAAAAGACCTAAAAGTTTTATGCGTTATATATATATATATATATATATATATATATATATATATATATATATATATATAACTTTAGAGTCAAACATGAGAATAAAAACTCTCATTACAAATTAATGTCACACGTACAACTACAACATTTTCAGGCGGAGTTTAGTGTCTATAAAAAGCATATTTAACTTTTCTTTATTGGGGAGGTAAAGGCGGCGAGGCGGGCCACTTGGGCTAAAATACAGCCTGCATTATCCCACGTCGACTGGTCTAATACCATGATTCCCTCCTTACCAGGCTGGCAAAACTCTTTATTTACACAGACTAATTAATTGACGAGAGCAAACTGAAATATCTTTTTTTTTCTACTTCACTGAATGGAGAGAGCAAGAGAGTAAGTAAAAAGAGGGGGGTTGAGGAAAGGAGGGGGTGGAACACAGAGAGAGAGAGAGACTACAAGGTGAGCTCTTACCTTAACAAGAGTTCTCTGGCTGAGGTAAAAGTACCCTTGAGCCGCCTCTCATGTTCCTCTTGACGCCTTAATAAGCAAGACTCTGAGTCGCTGCAGATTACCAGAATTAAACGGATGAAACGATTTTCTCACCGTTTTCTTAAGTCATTTTTGTTCTTATAATATTCATGACAATCCTTCTTTTATCAATGACAAACAAAGCCTGATTTGCGACTGATTATTTATGCTGTGTTTCTGAATTTGCACCTCACGCAAAAAGTTCCTTTGACACTAACACTAACGTGTATTAAATCCTCTTGGAAGATACACACTTCAGCGAATATAATAACTTGATAAATTCTAAGTTTATAACCTCTATTAACCCGTTCTTTTAACACACAATTAGTTAACAATCATCAACAATCATGACGGGACGAGCCGCTGCTAAGCCTATCTGGTGGAACGACTCAACACGAGACTGTCCCTAAGCGCGCGGTGTTGACGCGGACGGTGGGCGAAGGGCTCCGTGCCTCACCGCTGCTGCCGGCACACTACCAGCTCCCCCGTCGCGTCCGCCCGCCTGCCCCAACCTCCACTGGCGGGCGGCCTGGAGGTGTCGCCTCCCGAGAGGAGGCACGGAAGGAAGAAAGAAAGAAAGACTATAGAAGGATGCTAGGGAAGGGACACCGCCTAGGAAAAGCCACGGCTAGGGAAATAAGCCCCTGGGAGCCTGGCTAAGAGAGGAATACGACCTAGCTATAGCACACACGGTCTTCAGATGAAGGACTTGTGTTAAGGAGTTACCGGAGTGGGAAGAGCTCATTGGGAGGTTTATACACCACTCGCTGAAGGATTATTTTGATAACTTTCCAAGGTAGGGACGACTGCGTAAATGATCTTAAAGCTGCTGGATTTTGATTGTTGCTAAGACATGAAGGAGGTTCTGTGGAGACTATAGAACTGAAAGTAGTTCTTAAAGCTATTCTTAACACGAGAATGTAGCTTACCATTCCGCTAAAGACAAAAATACTTCTTGTTGGATCAAGAGCAATGCCCCCAAATAAAAAGATTCAAGACAAAATGATGCTGGATATTTTCTTCGTGGACAAAACCCAACCAAGAGAGACTCAGGAGATCTGTCTGCTCGGGGGACACTTGGCATGAGTGTTAGCACGGCGCAATAACACGAGAGGCACCAGACATCAACTCAGGAGTAACGTTTTCTGACACTCACGTGCGAGTCAGGTTAAGCAACTTCAAGCAGACAGAAGGCAACGGCGGCCAAGATAAATAAAATATACAAAAAACATCGGTGTTAAAGATATATAGCACAATTACTTTTTATAAAGAAAATGCGCTTACCAGATTAAGGTGCACCACTGTCACGCCTCATCGGCCACACATCCCTCAGCTCCTCTCCGGGAAGCGTTTCCTCAGCATCACTGATAAAATGTGTAAACTCCTTTGGATGCATTATTCTGCTTGACTCTCATCATTGACTTGGTTACACCATTGAACTATAATCTTATGTCTTCTTCAGAATTCGGTTAAATCTAATTCATTATTATCGCGGGCTCTTATTCGTTAATGTCTGTATTATACTGCATTAAGCTGTAACACTGTATCATACTGCATTAAGTGAGTGTCTGTAGCGCTATATTATGTAATCCTGTGATGGAGCTACTTGCTCCTGCTTAGAAGAAATACAAATAAATAACTTGGATAACAATATAAAACACACACTAGATAAATACGTGAGAAGACCGTTAACTATTTCCACAAGTAATTTGGTAAGAAAATACAAATAAAAAAAATATATTGGACTTCTGTGAGGAAATACAATACGTCTCTTCCATCCCTCTGATTGGCTTACAGTATATCTCCAGGACACAACAGAGGCCCTGCCAGAATAAACTATACATAGTCCGTGGGAAGTCGTAGACACGTATTCTTCTTCATATTCTCATTTACATTGACCCAGACTATATAGGAGTGACAAGTCCAAACATTCAAAACCTACAGAGAGATTAGAGAGAGAGGGGGAGCGTAATAACTGGTGTGAAAGAAATTGGGTTTTGCAACTTTGTGAATTTTTCTTGGCAAGCCATTTTTTATTCCAAATACTACAGTATTTAACCTCCAAGAATCAGTTTTAATTTATGTAAAGAACTTCTACTGTGTTATCCTGTAACATGAGTCACAAACATGACTTACAGTAGAATTCAGTACAGTACAGTACAGTACAGTACAGAACAGTACCTGCTCTCAGTGTAGACGTGCAGGGAGTTACAGGTGGATGATGCAGACATTGCATGACACATGAACAACCTCTCCCTGTCTCATGCAAAGAGGAGAGAGACTAGTTATATTTCTGGCCTTTGCGTCCGGAACATTATGGAGTATGTCTCTACATGGTGAATAAATACATGCAGTGTACTGTTACAGTGAAGCATAGTGTTGTTCAGTACTGTGATGACCATTCATAGCACCTTGGTACAGCTGCTCCAGCAGAGTGCAGTCTGTAGTCAGGCAATGTTTAACTGTAATAGAGTTACAGCTCTATATTAATACCATAACGTGCCTAACACTACAATACCGTAGTGTTAACAATAGTATATGTTCTTTGGAGCAATTATCAAGAAGAATGGGCGTGTAGCCCGGCACAGTAATTCCCAGCTGCCTCATGGACACCTAACATTGCCTCAGTAATACAGTTACAACCATACAGTAACGTCTCCTCTGCCTAATGCTGCAACACTATTAACAAAAGTTTATGTTCTTAAGCACAATTATCACGAGAACTGAGAGCACTTGTTGCTTCACGACAACCGCAAGAAACTTAATGTAGCGAGGGAGGTGCGGGCGGGTGGACACGTTATCCAAGCTTTCTTTAGAGGAATTTGTAGTAGAAACTGTCTCTTGTAACATTATATCGATTATTGAAAATAACTAAATCTAGCATACTTATACCTATGATGATGAAAGGGTAAAAAATAAAGAAGACATGACTATTTAGGCATTGATAAAGAAAATAAAGAAAAACAATAAAATAAAACACTCACAAGGGGGAAGGAAAATTACCAAGACATATAATGACTAAATATATATATAAATACAACAACCATAAAAGAAATAATTGAAAGGGAAGAGATAAAAGGATAAATGAATAACTGATAAGGATAATAAAGATGAAGATGGAGGTCGGTGAAGATAATGGGATAGATATATATATTGGTGAATGAGATGAAAGTATTGGAAGAAGAAGAGGAGGGATGACTATGATGTAGGTATATGAGGTGTGTGTGAGGGTCATTAACAAGTCACTGTTATTGGCTCATTAAGGGGTAATATCAAGGGTTTATTGCTGGCACGATAATGTGTGTGTGTGAGCGTGTTGGCGCCCCCCCCCCCCCCCACCCCCCCCCGTCTATGGCATTAAGTTTACGTTTTCTCTCTCTCTCTATTCTCATCTTTGTTCTTTCCTACGTTACCATTTATTTTCTCACATTACACTGGCCTGTTTCTCCCACGCCCCTCCTCCATCTCTCCCTCACTCCTCCCCTGTCTCTCCCACGCCCCTCTCCCTTCTCCTCCACGCCCTTCTTCCGTCACTTCCACGCCCCTCGCCAGGTATCACGTGACAAATTGGACGCCGTTAACTGAGGCCTCACCTGCCACTTTTCCCCAGCGAGCGAAAGAAGACACAAGGAAGGCAAGAGGAAAGGCGAATGGTCAGAAGAAAGAGAGAAAACAAAGCGGGGATTGGAAGAGAGAGAGAAAAGAAAGTGAATAGATAAAATTTGTTGTGGTTGAATGTGGGTGCGCCAAGTCCGTAGACTTCTTGGTGATGGGAAAACAAGAAGACTTTTGAATGGTGTGGAGAAAGAGAAGCCACGAGGGTAAAGAGATGAAAGAACAACAGAGGAAGACAAAAGTAAAGACAGAAATAATCCAGGGAAAAGACAAAGCAAGAATGAGAAGACAAAGAAAACAATAGAAAGGAGAGCAAGTTAAGACAAGAGGAGAGAGATAAGCTGTTGTCTTCACTGATTCCATCTCCTTATCCGTTTAAGTTGTCAACAACATCCAAGATTTTTTAATCAACTATCTTAAGCTAAATTGGGCTGAGTTGAACTGAGCTAAGATGAGTTTAGCTGAGGTTATAACTGAGATAAGTAATGCTGAGACGAAATAAGCTGAATTAAGGAAAGCTGAGGCAAAATATTTCAGTGCCTCGATAAGTAAGGTCATTAAGCCTGGGTTTTTCAGTAATATATTGAAGTACTCAAGTTTAATATGTTATTTACTGATTGTATAAACATAATTTATCTAATCTACATATTAGTACCAGTACTTTTTAAAGGCGTTTTATTTTTTTCCAATTTTATCAACTCTAAAATCGTGTCGGTTATTTAGTGTTTTAAATGTTTTTGTTTTTTATGTGTAGTTTAGTTTTTGTTGTTGTACGGTATTTTACATCGTTTTTTGGTGAGTTTTTTATTGATAGCTTTAGTATTACTTATGACACCTCTATTTAACGAATTTTAAGGAGAGAGAAGTCCGTTATATGGAGGGCTCACTGTACATATACACACAGTTCACTGAGACAAACTATATCAACAACCTTCAGATAGATCCTCAACTTTATTAAAGCATCATTAAATGTCCCTCAAATGGACACAGGACCACCACCATCAAGTGTTACATCAAAGTCTCGACCGGATAAGACTTAAGTAAAAGTTACACACTTAAGCGAGTCAATATTTGAGACTTTCTCGAGTGTTTGACGGAAATGTGGTTCCTATCTACCTGGCTACGGCCGGATTGGTGGGTAGGTGTTGTGATAGCTTATGACAAGTTGAGGAAGATAAACATAGAGCGAGGGAAAGGTAGAGAGAATTATGAAAAAAAGAGACTGAATTATGTCGCCTGCACTTGGTAATATCACCTCTATAGCATTTAACCCTTTGAGGATGATGGCTTAACCCTTTTCATGACAATAGTTTAAACCCCTGATCGATGATTTAGCCCTCCAGGACTCAAAGGGTTAAACATAGATAAAATACAGCCAGGTAACAGATCAACATAACCACTTTAATCATTTACTCAGACCATGACTGTCAAACCAAGATACTAAAAACGAAAACAAACCCTAAACTAACATTAACATACATCTTCACAAGTGATAAGACAAACACTGATACTAACAAGTTTTCTGACTAAGAATCGATAACTCTTGACTACTGTTGTCACTATGGAATCTCGGTAAACATTATGATTAATAATAATAATAATACCAAAATAAGGTTCCGAAATCTGCGAACCACAAATATACGTCAAGGTCAAATAACGATTAAATATAACCAATTGAATGCAATTCTCTTGTTATAACTGGGTGTATTTTACTTGAAATCTATTGACAGTATGTTGGTGTGTGTGTATTGACAGTATGTTGGTGTGTGTGTATTGACAGTATGTAGGTGTGTGTGTATTGACGGTGGCGTATGTTGGTGCATATTCATCTGCTCATAAGTT